AAGAGGAAAAAAAGAGAGAGAGAGTGTGTCATGGGTAGAGAGGGCGACCGGGAGCAGCGTTCTAACGGGCTACAGCTTATGCAGTGTGTTTTTGAAGTGTGCAGTACTGTTATTAAAGCCTCATCTCTTCAGTACTCTCCGGTGCCTCGGCTGATTTCTGTCATGGTCCTGGGCCATGTTGGCCCAGTGTTCTTAGTTTTTGTGTGTTTTGTATTTTGTTTTCTATTCATGCCTTGATTCCTAGTTTGTTTAGTTAAGATGTTCCTTATTTGATTACCCCCTGTGTGCCCCTCTGTGTATCTGTGAGCCCTCGTTCCCCTCCTTGTGTTTCATTTAATGTTTTCCTCAGCCCGTTATGTCTGTGCTCTCTCTCCTCCTGTCTGAACCTCTGTGTACTTCCTGTTTTACTTGACAGTCTCCCGTCAGTGTTGCATTTACTCCTGCCGTGTCTTGTTATGATTATCAGCGTCACCTGTGTTCCCCGTGTGCTCCCACTTCCCTCATTAACCCTCTGTGTATTTATGTCTGCCTCTCCCTCAGTTCTGTGTCGCGTGCCCCTCCGTGTGTTTCCTCGTAAGTCAGTTCCTTAGTACTTCCCAGTTCAGTTTCATATTATTTTGTATTGCCGTTATCTTTTGTCTGCATTAAAGCTGTATTTTGAGTTCAGTCCTGTTTTCCCGTGAGTTTACGTTTGGGTCCTCATCCTGCCTGCACACAGCCTGATCATGACAATTTCTGTCTGCCTCACTACTCCACAAAAGTGAAGGGAGTTAACCCCGAAGGAGGACAAATTTCGGCCCTGGAGGAAGCATCTCCCCTCGCGTCTCCCGACCACGGTCAGGGGACTGACGGCAAGGAATGGTTAACAGTCACCATGAAAACTGTGATGCATTGTACCAAGATCTACACAACTAGCGAGAGTACCATGAAAGAAATTATTAGAATTAGAAACTCAGAAGTTCAAGAAGAAACATGCAGTTAAGAATAATAAAAAAAAAAAAACAGAGCAAAAATAACTAAATAGGTGGAGGCTGTGGTTTGACAGCATTCACCAAAAAAAACATTCCATTGGTAGGTGGGATCGTCTTAGCGTCATCTTTTTACATTCATTTTAATGCTTCCACAAAAATCTTCTTATTCCACTTCATAAAAATAAAACATAGATGGGCTCTAAAACAACTACGTTTTTTAAATTCAATTTAGACTTAAAGAATACTGAAATCATAACTACATAAAAGAAATGTGATGCTTTGTAACATGTTTGTAACGAGTTTTACTGAATATAAAGGTCATCTTTAAGCAACAGTGACACCTCTGTAAACCAATAGAGGGAAACCTCACACCTCTTCATACTTTTGTTCACTTCTCAGCTTTCATTAATAAAGTTTGTGATCAAAATGGCAGCAAAGGCTCGCTAAAAGTAACTTATAACTTAAATACAAAACAACAGCAAGCAACTAAATTAAAGCGCCTGCTTTTATTGGTGTGAAAGGTTTCACATTATTAATTATTAATTTAGTAATACTAAAACTCTAAAATTCCTAAACCAGGAATAAGCCAGTTGTGTAATTTTATTACACGACTGGCTTATTATGACTTTTTCACTGACAGTTAATATCTACAGCTAAATTAAATTAACAACTTAAAGTGGTTTATAAGCACTTTGAAGTTGGTTTAACTCAGACATTACAAAATAAAGTGTATAATTAAGCCATAATTGCTTTTAATTTAAGAAATGTAAATGAGAGATTCCTTTAAACCTTGAAAAACCTTCACAGACATTAATGCTTGTTGTGTTGCTCAGTTCTGAAATATTGTCTGAAGCTCTGCTTGTTGAGGTTACATGTTAAGCAAAACCATCATTGTGCACAAGGAAGTGAAGCAATAGTAACTGCCACTATACAAACCACAAGTACACATGCAGGTTTTAAAATAAAGATCCTCACTTTTATTCTTTTGTTCATTTTTGTTATATTCTTTTGTGTCAGAGGTTGTTTGGTTTCCCCGATGTATAAATCCTGGCAATCCTCCTGGCACTTAACAGCGTACACTATGTTACTCTGTTTGTGTCGGGGGACCCGATCCTTGGGGTGGACCAATTTTTGGCGCAGCGTGTTTTGGGGTTTAAAAG